TCCCCAGGGTTCCAGTTAATAAACCCCAAGTTGAAATCACCCAGGATCACAACATCATCTGCACGATTGACAACATTATCTGCGCCATCCAAGAAGGACGCAAGAGTTTCAGTTTTAACTGGTGGAGGAAGATATACGACACATACAGCAAGCTTTCTTGTACATGAGCTAGTATGAATTTGCAGGGTGACCCACAAGTCCTCCAGACCCGTCTCCCACTCCCTGACACGAACAGACGGTAAGTCCTTGGAAACGGCTAAAAGCACCCCGCCGCCTTCCCTCCTAGGGTTATCACTACTTGTTCGGTCCCTCCGATAGATCACGTACCTATCGTCGATCAATTCGCCGTCAGAAATACTTGAATTGAGCCAAGTTTCAGTGAAGGCGATGACCTTATAATTCGACATCAGAATATTTTTAGAAATTTCATTAGTCTTAGTTCTAAGGCCTTGTACATTCTGGTAGTATATGTCAAGCATTGTGATCATCAATAATACAAATTAGTTCCTATAATACATTAACAAACTTATACTAAGAGCTTAAGACTATCAATATTTTTAATTACAATAGCTTGGTGTTCCACTGCTTTTCTAACGAAGATCCGACCATTACGAACCCAGACAAATTTATAACACATTTCCCGGGCTTTAATACGAGTTGCAGCGTGAAGTGACTTCAGAGTTGGACTTAAATGTTCCGAAACGTAGATAGGACCGACAGTTCCTCCTATTCCAAGATGCTGTGTGCAAAGCCTCTTCTCGGTATTTTTCCTATTAAATTTGCTGACCGCTGCCAGGATGTCGTCACGGGAACGAGGATTACGCAACTTAACAATCACTGGTCGAGGACGTGGATTGTCATTGCTGATTTTAGCAACTCTGACAGCATGGTTAATGTCTTCTTTAGTGAGCGGGTTTTCGATGACCTTGGATAGTTGAATGACGGTGGTGACCAGATTCTCAGATCTACTTTCCGGGATACCATTTATCTCAATGTTTGAGTCCCTCATATGCAACTCAGCGACGTTGACTCGGGTAGTGAGATCTCTGATGGTAGTTTTTAAACTTTCGTTATCATGTCTTAGCTCGGTGACAGTTGCAATTGCATTTTCGTATTTAGATTTCATCTCTTCATACTTTTTATTCACAAATTCTAGAGAATTTCTGAAACTATTCATTGTATCGATAACACTCTTGAGCTCAGCCGCTACAATTTTTTTGATTTTGAGATTTAGCGTAGTACAGGTTTCCTGTTGCACAATCTCACGTAGTTTATTTTCAGTGACAGGACTACTAGGTTCCAAGAGCTGAGGTTGCGGTTGCGGCGGCCCAAGAGTTGACTGCAACTGCAATTTTGGCGGCGACTTTTGGGAAGATTGCGCTGCCGCTTTCTGTGATAGTTTTGGTGGTAATTTCTGCACCTGCTTATGCAGCGGCCTCTGCGACGATTTCAGCGGCGATTTTGTGGGCCTTTTGCGTACAGTGACATTAGATTGCCCCTGTACATCCTCTTCTTGACTCTTTGTGATCGAGCATTGAGTCGAACGCACAGGAGTGTTAACGTTGCCTATTTTTGGCTCCTTGCAGCAACATTCAGGGCATTTCCATGACGCTTTTTGGTTAGCGTTCATTTGCTTATAATCGTTGGAGGTCATATTTGCACAGACAAGGTCATATTTCGCCCTACAGCTAAAACATCCAAGATAGGGTTCGTCGCCGAGAACGTTGCGACATCCAGAACATTCACCAATCGATGCCATAATAGTACAAGTAATGTTCTGATAAAAATGTTTTTATAGTATATAAAAATTTGAAAATAATATTAAAAAAAAAATAAAAATGAAAAATATAAAAAAAATCCATAAAATTTGTATTAAAAACTAAAATAAAAGTTGCAAAAGCTAATGGTCTAATGTGGGATCCGAACTCGGTTCTCGTTGCACTCAAGTCCACTGTATAATCAAATAGACCATTCATTCACAAACGATATCGGCGAAATACGATTACTGTACGGGAAAAAATTCTTGATATTAAATAATGGGATGTAGGGTAGGTTTGAAAAAAAAAAACAATAATTTGCACTATCACTATGAGTAACTGCTCAATCTCACTTTTTGATTGTTATAGTCACTTTTATCACTGCTATTTTGCTACCACCAGCCTCAATTGACCCATTAATCAACGATATCACACTGTTCGTAATATGGCTTACACTGCTACCGCTGCTCACACTTTGCTTTTTATTTATTGTTTTGTTTATTGTTTGCACTGTATATATTAGGTGGATAACAGTTGTAGGAACAGTGGGTGTTTGAGAGGTCACATTTACACAACCTTCAATATGATTTACGCGATATTAAAATTAATAATAATTTTCAAACACGGAGCCGATGTTTACGTACTGGCAGCGCCATCTGTACAAACGAGAACCCTTCAAAATCCCCCCACTCTTGCAAATCAAGTTGGATTGGGCAGATTTTTTAATCGCACTTCCTTTAGCACGGTATTGACCTACCTTCCCTTAATCTGACGAAACTGACTTTATTTAGTCAGACTTTTTTTTTAATTTTCAGTCCCCCCTTCTAATCAGATAGGATATATGTTGGGTATATTCTACATGACACTAGGTTTTCCCCATATGTTAATCTGACGCGCTCGAGTAACTACCGAAATCCCTTCATGGGCTCCCCTACTATTATGGTTGGAGATCGGGTTGACAAAGTTTGAATATTATTTAATTTGGTTTAGGTAACGTTTTGTTGAGTTTGTGTAACTCTAAAGCTAGAGGTTTCCGGTTCAATTTCTGTGCTAACTAAAATTTTATGGGAAGTTTGCAAAAAAATTAAAAAATTGGGGGTGTAGATTCTGAAAATGAAAAAAAAGTAAACCACTTTTATATTTTAGACAATTTTACACTTATCTTTTGTGTTATAAATTGTTTTTAGTACATAAACTTATGATAGTTTAATGCGAAACGTGTTTTAAAATTATATCTTAATGGTGAATTAAAATACCTAATTAAACATTTAGCTTTATTGTTGAACTTTTGTTACTAAAGTGTTCTAATACCCTACAGTCATGTTTTTTTTTTTTTTTTTTTTTAAAACGTTGCCCCACACTAGGATATTCTCCTGTGTCGTGGGTGCGTTTACAAACATACAAGTTCACATACACAATGACACCCAGACCCGGAACAACAATTTGTGGATCACACAAAGTGTTGTTCCATGCGGGAATCGAACCCGCGACACGTTGCACGGCAGCCGGTTGCCCAGCCACCGCACCAACCGTGCAGTCAAATGTTGGTATTCATATGTATTAAGAGTTTGAAATAACTGTATATTTTATGTACACTGTATGCAAACTTTAACAACATTAATTAAAATCAATTCAGCAGTCAGTCATTGTATGCTAAACAAATCAACAAACAAGGTCTATGAGAACTGTAAAACATATTATTTTAAAACAGTAACATATGGAGTTTCTTGCACGAGCAAAAAACTCCATACGTTACTCATTTACGTTACATTACGGACAAGAACTATCTTGTCCATTCGAGTCTACATTTTGGAATGAGCACCTAGCTTCATCAAGCTTCATTTAGCTTCACTGACGGACAGGCTGATAGACTATTATTTATTTTGTATTTGTTGAAACAAATAATAAGTACTTTACCCAACTCGGCTTCGAAAATGACACATCTCTCTTAAATAGCACTAAGCTACCTTTTACCTCAAATCTGTAAACAGGAAGTAGGTAACTATTACCAACATACACATTACTTTGACACATCAAAGTAAATTACCGAAGTAATGTAAGTACTGCGATAGTTCGTGGCACCTCCCGCATACACGTCGTGAACACGTGTCAGAGACGAGACAAGCGAGAGGAAATAATGTGCTTCTACTAACTTAATGTTTAACTCTTTCAGTCTTGGTGGTCACTGTAACTAACCACCTTTTCTTAGAAATTCAATTTTTGAAGTATGCTTCAAATTACTTTGCATTGGTTTTTAAGCATTTATTATATATTCGTAACCAGTTAAAAGTGTGACTGAAAGAGTTAAGTGTTAATACAATACACACATTATGCCTTTTATCCCCGAAGGGGTAGGCAGCGGTGCACATTTTTTTTAAACGTTCCTCGTGTCGTGGGTGCGTTTTACAAACATACAATATCACATACACATAACACCCAGACCCAAAACAACAATCTGTGGATCACACAAAGAGTTGTTCCGTGCGGGAATCGAACCCGCGACACGTTGCGCGGCAGCCAGTTGCCCAGCCACCGCGCCAACAGTGCAGTCTACATTACGGCACTGAATACCATTGTACAATGTAACACCTTCGTCACTATTTATGTTATGAGTCCCATGTAATAAGGGGTGAGCCTATTGTCATATACCGGATACAATTCCATAAACTTCGTGCTACTATTGAGATTTTTTTAGAAAACTCAGTAATGGTTTGCCCGACCCGGGAATCGAACCCGAGCGAGACCCCTAGCCTAAAGAGGGTAATACATGCATGTACCTATTTTTCCTCTTTATTTTATTGGAAACTTTTATACATAATTACACGACAGTCCCGTTGGTACCTTATATATTAAACTCATTGAAATGCATGTACTTGCTCTTCGCCTGTCAACCCACGTGGAATTTAACTTCACCTCTGGTAGGAACCGAATCCTTTTAAATTTTTTCATAAAAATCCTTGTCCTGATAATAACAAAGGCATAAAAGTAAGAATTATCTAATTTGGTACTGTCGTTCTGAAGTTATGCACGTAGAGACGTTTCGGGGATTTATTTTTATTAATATAGATGGATAACTACGTCTGTCTTAAACTGTCAAACACCGAGCGGTCACCGGTGACCGCAACCTATTGTTCTATAATTGTGTCTATAATGACGGTACTTGACGAGTTAAATAATTTCAGTGGCACCGCATATTATTGAGATCCCTCTTTCAATCTGACTCGGACACTAGTCATACAATGGTACGTAATAAAGCTGAAATAAGTAGTAAAAACTGCCTAACTGACTGCCTCGTTGGCCGTGTGGTTGCAAGTGCGACTGCCGGTCAAGGTGTCTCGGGTTCAATTCCCGGGTGGGGCGAAGTACTACTGGGTTTTTATAAATTCTCAGTAGTAGCACGGAGTCTAGAATTGTGCCTGGTATATGGCAATAGGCTCACCCCCTATTACATGGGACTCATAACATAAATAGTGAAAAGTGGGTGTTACATTGTACAGTGGCATAATGTATACATCTGCCTACCCCGTCGGGGAAAAAATGCGTGATGTTATGTTATGTTGTTAAGTAGAAAAAAAATATCATTACCGATTTCATGAGCGGCGTCTCCAAATTGACATTTCTATTCTTAATCGAACTTGATCCTGATCCATCGATACCTGTGAACAATTGGAAGAAGTTAATAAAAGTTTCAATACAAAAGATTTTCAAATTGAATAGGGACATAATATTATGTAATTTTCTTTTAGGGTAAGGCAGAAGGTACGGCTAAGGTTTTGTTTTGCTACTTGTTTAAAACGCAAAACGATTAACACGAGGAAAAGATAACAAGCATAATTTTTCACACTTAATAATAATTACATACATACATAACTTCACGCCTGTCTCCCATGGGGGTAGGCAGAGACTACGGAACGCCAATTACTACGATTCCTACATACCTCTTTCGCTTCATCAACAGTCATTTAATCTTTTCATGCATGCTCGTCGGTTAAGGGTACTTTTATTTTTAACTAGCTTTTACCCGCGGCTTCGCTCGCGTTACAAAAGGATAAAAGTCGCCTATGTGACATATACCAATACATACAGCGCCATCTATACCAATACTTTTGTTTTCCCTCGGAAATATCAAATTTTACCGGGATAAAAAGTACCCTATTATTTAATCCAGACTTCTATCTTTACGTCTGCTAAAATTCAAAGCAATCGGTTTAGTAGTTACGGCGTGAAAGCGGAACAAACAAACAAACAAAGAAACTCACTTTCCAATTTATAATATTAGTAAGGATAAGGAAGTAAGGATAATAATTCCAGTACCTAATTAATGATCTGAAGTTGCAACAAAAATAACACTTTAATCCAGTGGCGTAGCGTGCCTTGGGGGGGCCCCCCATATAAAAATTTGTTTAGGGGTCCTTGAACGATAAACATTTCTCACAACAGTTTTTTTTACATAAAATACTTATAATTTGTGTGAAAACCGAAAATCTTAATAACATTTATTTTTCTTAAGTTTCTGCTAACCTTTGAACGCATGCTTTACGCAGGAAAAAATCGTTTATTTTGACTTTTGCGATTACTGAAATAGAATTAAAATTGGGAAGTTTTTATTAATTTTTGCTTAGGCACGTTGGGGCCCCTGTAGTCCCGGGGCCCCGTATAATTGATACGGCAGATACGGCGCTAGCTACGCCCCTGCTTTAATCTATACATATAATAAAATTGTAGAAAAGTGCTGTCTGTACATTGAAAATAAAAATAAAAAAAATAGCAGGGGCTATTGTTATGTCGATGTCGAACCCAAAAATGTAACTAACTTTTTTTTTGTCTGTTTGTCTGTTTGTCTGTTCACGCTAATCTCAGAAACGGCTTATCCGAGTTGGATGCGGTTTTCACGAATATATTGTGGTATGCTTCAGTTATGCTTTAGTGTTTGTTTCATGTCAATCGGTTCATAAATAAAAAAGTTACGTCAAATTAAAGAATCACGTCGAACACTATCTATCTATCTATATATATATATAATAAAATTGTAGAAAAGTGCTGTCTGTACATTGAAAATAAAAATAAAAAAAATAGCAGGGGCTATTGTTATGTCGATGTCGAACCCAAAAATGTAACTAACTTTTTTTTTGTCTGTTTGTCTGTTTGTCTGTTCACGCTAATCTCAGAAACGGCTTATCCGAGTTGGATGCGGTTTTCACGAATATATTGTGGTATGCTTCAGTTATGCTTTAGTGTTTGTTTCATGTCAATCGGTTCATAAATAAAAAAGTTACGTCAAATTAAAGAATCACGTCGAACACTATCTATCTATCTATATATATAATAAAATTGTAGAAAAGTGCTGTCTGTACATTGAAAATAAAAATAAAAAAAATAGCAGGGGCTATTGTTATGTCGATGTCGAACCCAAAAATGTAACTAACTTTTTTTTTGTCTGTTTGTCTGTTTGTCTGTTCACGCTAATCTCAGAAACGGCTTATCCGAGTTGGATGCGGTTTTCACGAATATATTGTGGTATGCTTCAGTTATGCTTTAGTGTTTGTTTCATGTCAATCGGTTCATAAATAAAAAAGTTACGTCAAATTAAAGAATCACGTCGAACACTATCTATCTATCTATATATATAATAAAATTGTAGAAAAGTGCTGTCTGTACATTGAAAATAAAAATAAAAAAAATAGCAGGGGCTATTGTTATGTCGATGTCGAACCCAAAAATGTAACTAACTTTTTTTTTGTCTGTTTGTCTGTTTGTCTGTTCACGCTAATCTCAGAAACGGCTTATCCGAGTTGGATGCGGTTTTCACGAATATATTGTGGTATGCTTCAGTTATGCTTTAGTGTTTGTTTCATGTCAATCGGTTCATAAATAAAAAAGTTACGTCAAATTAAAGAATCACGTCGAACACTATCTATCTATCTATATATATATATAATAAAATTGTAGAAAAGTGCTGTCTGTACATTGAAAATAAAAATAAAAAAAATAGCAGGGGCTATTGTTATGTCGATGTCGAACCCAAAAATGTAACTAACTTTTTTTTTGTCTGTTTGTCTGTTTGTCTGTTCACGCTAATCTCAGAAACGGCTTATCCGAGTTGGATGCGGTTTTCACGAATATATTGTGGTATGCTTCAGTTATGCTTTAGTGTTTGTTTCATGTCAATCGGTTCATAAATAAAAAAGTTACGTCAAATTAAAGAATCACGTCGAACACTATCTATCTATCTATCTATACATATAATAAAATTGTAGAAAAGTGCTGTCTGTACATTGAAAATAAAAATAAAAAAAATAGCAGGGGCTATTGTTATGTCGATGTCGAACCCAAAAATGTAACTAACTTTTTTTTTGTCTGTTTGTCTGTTTGTCTGTTCACGCTAATCTCAGAAATGGCTTATAAATATATATATATTTAACAGGGTGCGGAAAAGGTGATAGTGGTTTTATTCCTCAGATTCCTCTCATTCCAAAAAATTTTCCGTTTAATTTTAAACGAATTCAGTTTCCAGTGAGCCTATGTTTCGCCATGACAATTAATAAAGCTCAAGGTCAGACTCTAAAAGTTGTGGGTATACATCTAAGTATCAGCTGTTTTTCGCACGGTGAATTGTATGTGGCTCTGTCCCGTGTTAGCAATCCCAGCAGCCTGTATGCTTTCACCCCCGAAGGCCATACGTCTAATATTGTATATAGAGAAGCATTACAGTAAAGTAGGTTTTTTAGCTACCCAAAATGACTGTGATTATGATCCAAATCTAAAATAAAAATAAGTATATATTTAAAAAAAAAACGCTGCTCATAGTCACTATTCTACGCGAACGAAGTCGCGGGCACAGCTAGTCCAACATAAAGTTCTAACTTAAGACTTTGAGATCGGCGGTAAAACTTGCAACCATTCGATCAACGAGGAAATCGAATCTGTCAAGCCAGAGTCGGAAATGGAACGCGGAAATTCACTCTGTCTGCAAGCGCAGATGAACTTACAAAAAGAAAAAAATGGACAAAATAGAAAAAATCTTATTTTCTTCCTCATAAAATTAATTTTTGATTGAGGAAATATAGCAATTTCCTATTAATAATACTCTACAAAGAATAACTATATCCATATACAAGGTGTTGTTTTAAAGCCGCGTCATTTTCTAGATGGTAATTCGGCTATCGATTCTGAGTTCGAATCAATAAAAAAATTATAGCTAAATATTTTTCATTTTTCTGAAATTACGGAAATCCGTAAGTGCGAACTACAGGCCGCCGTCTTGTAACTAGCTTTATAACGCGGCTTAACACACACAAACTCAAACACGTAATTGTTATTATTCCTAATTCCATAAAACTCCAATAAGAAACATTGCTGTCGCTTATTCTGAAATACTGTCGAACTTATACGATTTATTGTAGCCGTATTTTTAACTATTGGCCCGAAACTTTCTCTTACATTGAACCTTTATGACTTCTGTGACATGCCCCCGAAAAATGACACGGTTTCAAAACTACACCTTGTATAATACTCGCTATTCCGCTCGAAATCACCCGCTCTACTCAGCTCCTACTAATCGCAATGTGGTGTTTTATAGTCTATAGCCTTCTAAAATAAATGCACTATCGAAATAAAAAAGAATTATTCAAATCGGACTAGTAGTTACGGAGATTGGCATGGGTTCGATTCCCGGGTCGGGCAAAGTATTACTGGATTTGTAAAAACCTCAGTAGTAGCACGGAGTCTGGAAATGTGCCCAGTATAATATGGCAATAGGCTCACCCCCTATTACATGGGACTCATAACATAAATAGTGAAAAGTGGGTGTTATATTGTACAGTGGCATTAAGTGCCGTAATGTGCACCTCTGCCTATCCCTTCGGAGATAAAAGGCGTGATGTTATGTTATGTTATTGATACATAGCTAGCTACCTACATTTGTTTACGTTTAAAACAGTTGAAACTTCAGGTTGCTCAACAAGTTAACTCCAGTTAACTGTAGGTACTTATGTTAGGATAACTAACTACTCGTAAAGGATAACAATATAATAGATTTGTAACTTGCCCTAGTATAATTCTAATTACTCTACCTTGTCGGTTTAGTGTTTTATACATCTCCGGGATGGGGGAGATTTTTTTTTATGGCATAAGCCGGTAAACGAGCAGACGGATCACCTGATGGTAAGCAATCGGCGTCGCCCATGGACACCTGGAACACCAGAGGTGTTACAAGTGCGTTACCGGCTTTTTGGGGATTTGGAGTTTGAGGATCATTCGGGATTTAGGGATGGGGAGATTGGGTAAGGGGAGGGTAATCGGGCCTCCGGTAACCTCACTCACACGACGAAACACAACGCAAGCGTTTCTTCACGTCGGTTTTCTGTGAGGCTGTGGTATCACTCCGGTCGAGCCGGCCCATTCGTGCCGAAGCATGGCTCTCACACACTTAATTTAGTTTTTGATTTTTCAATTTACTTATCTGATGTTTGAAGCGGTCACCTTACCTGTATTGCAATAGAATTCATGGAACCAGTTCAAACGAGGGACTTTTATTTCAATTATTTCAAAAGCATTTATTTCAATTAAACCATAATTTGGTACTTTTGAAAGGTCAACAAATATGAAATATATAATAGTCTGTCAGTCTGTCCGTCAGTGAAGCTAGGCGCTCGTTCCAAAATATCAATTCAAGTGGAGAAGAACGAGCAAGAAACTCCATTCGTTACTCTTTTAGAAAAAGTCTGTTTTACATTGCTCTGATACATATTCCAATATTGTACCCACATGTGAGAATAATGTAAAGACATACCTGTCGCAACATACAAATAACAGAACATACTAAAATAGAAAAAAAAAACAAAACCAAGAGAAAACAAATATCCTAGGTCTGACATGGTCCTCACATATGTATACTGACAATCCATATAAAATAGTGCTTCTATATAAGAAAAAAAAATAAAAAATAAACTCTTGTTTAAATAAAGAAAGAAATGCTCGATGCCACAAGAAAAATAGATTGCCTTCATCGGAATCAAAATATTAAATTACCTATTATCGTAATCTGAACTAGGTATCCAAGCCAATCAATCAATTCAGGATTGTGAAGAACTTACTCTGAGAACTTGGCGCTAATGCACCACGTGGTTCTTGTTGTGGTATCAATATATACAGATACCTCATTACCTGCGCTGAAGCTAATAATTTACCAAGGGGACTAAGGCGGACATACACCGTTAAGGATGAAAATATATTCAACAGATATAATTATGAATTCCTTTCCAACTACGCTTGCGCGGGAACTCTGCTGGAGCATCGTTCTATACAGGACTGTGTACATTCATTATTATGTTTTTTGATTACCTCACGTTACTTTTTGACGAGGAACTCGACTACTTTCAAGCCGTATTAGAGGCTCATATTCATGAGCAGCATTCCACGACATATGACGCGGCGACTGTCGCGATGCTACTGTCCAGTCGAGTCCTAATTGGCCGAGTGGTCGCAAGTGCGACTGCCGGGCAAGGCGTCTCGGGTTCGATTCCCGGGTCGGGCAAAGTATTACTGTAGTAGCACGGAGTTTGGAAACGTGTCCGGTATATGGCAATAGGCTCACCCCCAATTACATGGGACTCATAACGTAAATAGCGAAAAGTGGGTGTTACATTTCAAAGTGGCATTAAGCGCCGTAATGTGCACCTCTGCCTCTTCGGGGATAAAAAGGTGTGATATTTTTTTTAAATTAAATAAAGATGTAACCATGTATTTTTCGAGCCTTTAAAAAAAAACAAATTCTTCGTACTCCCTCACCTATCGTATCTGAGGCACCTGATGAGTGACAGCAAGTCTTCTTCAGTAATCTCCTCAGCAGCCCCTTGAGGTCCAGGGTATAGGAGCCGTACACCAGGGGATTCATGCAGGAGTTGGACACAGCCATCACGAAGAGTAAGTCTTGGACCCTTGGCGAGAGACGAGCTGCTGATTCTCTGTCTACCATGTACCTGGACAGAATATAGGTTATAATTAGCGTAAATTTGTATTTAATTAGCGTGTATGTGTGCAAAAATATTAACTCCCTCCCCATCTCACCAATCGCCGAATACCCCAACAGTCCTCAAATTCCTAATCCCTAAAAGGCCGGTAACGCACTTGTAACGCTTCTGGTGTTCTTACGCTCATGACCACCTGGGTCATGGGCGACGCCATGAATTTTTCTTCTGAAATCGCAGAATCCCTCTTTTAACGCTTATGTACTCCATAAGGCAATGTTATGTTAAATTTTAATTTTCTGCCTCATATATTTAGATGTACGTTAGGGGCCGTTCAAATATTACGTAAACAGATTTTTTACAATGATTTACCCCCCATCCCCCTTGTCAGCAAAAGTAAGCAAAGATCTTATCCCCTCCCCCTTTGCTTACGTAAACATTTTAAATTATTTCTTTTTCATATTGTAATTTTAATATTTTCTTAGATACCATAATGTCTAGTTCTTTGTCGGTCTTTGCTTGTAATGTATAATTTCAATATGAGGGTTGCCGTTCGTGTAAAAGTAAATAACTACTGATGACGTAATCATTATTTAGACACATATCATCCAAAATAAGCAAAACAGAGACCCCCTACCTGTCAATTAATCAGATCACATCACGGAAACTAAATGGAGAAAACAGGTATGTTACAATATTAATGTTAGTGATACTTTCAGCCAAAAATAAAGACAAGGTATTTTAAGTTACTTTGAACCGTCTAAAAATAAAGATAAAACAGAATTGTCTGTCAGTTTGAGCATTATTCAAACGTGTTTCAAAACGTATGGAAATGAAAGAGCCGAAAACTTCATTAAACAGAACCTTAGCACATTTTTTCCATGCATTTTTTTTAGTAAAGTTATTGTTGAGTCTAAGACTAAAGTTTAATTAATTCCAGAAAATTCTAAAACTAACTTTTCATTAAGAAATATTTTCTTAATGAAACATATCAAAATTCTGCGTCTATTCTATAAGAAGAAGTTTACATACATTTGCATATAAAGTGGGTTACCAATTTATCACAATAAGACATTTATATGTATGAGGTCTTTGGAAGTCTAGATAGCTGACTTTCGATATATAGTTTATTCATATTCATATTGTACTGCTAATCTAAATGCATAGGGTTGACATTAGCTTCCGAAATACAGCGACGAAACGTGACGAAATTCTAACATGACGGTGATATATTTAGTAAGGGACGTGATATAGAACGTCAACATTGAACTTGATTTTAGATTAGTAGCTTAAATTAATATATATTTATTTTCCATTATTTCTATACTTGATTTATACATTTTTAAAAATTTATTTAAAGAATAAAATTAAAAAGCATTAACCCTGTAATGGGAGAAATCCAAGCTACCGGCGGTCAGGGCTCCAGAGAGAGAGAGAGAGAGAGAGAGAGAGAGAGAGAGAAATTTCTGGACATTTCTTTTCGAACTTTCTGCATCAGGCCCTTGACCCAACCATCTAACGCTAGACTACCCAGGTGTTGGTCAAAGCTTTTAGCAATGAGGCCATTAGCAATTTTTTTTTTATACCACGACGGTGCAAAAGAGCACACGGCCCACCTGATGGTAAGCCGTTACTGTGGCCTATGTGCGCCTGCAACACTTGGGGCATTACATGCGTCTTGCCGACCCTTAAGAAACCTATTCATTCCCCTCTTGAAGAACCCCATGTTGTACGTTCGTAAACCACGGCAGGGAGTTCATTCCACAACCGGAGGGTCCGTGGGAGAAAATTCCTCTGAAACCGAACTGTACGGGACCATTTGGGCTCCAATGTGTGAGCGTGAACTTCCCTGTCGATGGCGAGCGGTGCGATGATAGAAAGTAGCCATAGTATTTATTATGATAACAATATGGACAACTGTCCACGTTGCATCATTTGACGAATGCTTACATCCTTCACAAACAATATGCATGTTTAACGTTGCCATTTCGTTGACAGTTTTCGTTGTTTTTAAGCAAGATGCTAACAATTATCAACTGTAGGCCGCCTATTGTTTGTTTTTTACATTTGCATTTGCACGATGATCAACTCATTGTCGAATGTTAGATTTAAATTAAGAAAAAAGTTTGTTGACCGTAGATGGCGTTGGTGTCGCATTCGGTCACTATGGATAAGTACTTACTTACATCTTTTATGAATTTATGAATTTATCATTCAATTTTGTAAAATAATTATTCATGATACATACCACATAGTAATAGTAGCATAAGGGAGCCAGCAGAGAGCGAACACGGCGACTATAGTGACAGTCATACGCAGCGTCCGACGCCGAGCTCGCTCTAGCACGCGTCGGTCGGAGCGGCGCAGACGCACGTGTCCCACACTACTGCGGTGCATGCGTTTTTCTAGGAAAGGAAAAAAATAATTAAAAAAAACTCTTATTTATTCTACCCCAATAATCAAACTTATAGTAGTTTCATTTGAAACTGAATATTTATTTATTTATTTATTTAAATAGGTAAACCAACAGCTTCTGTATACATAGTATTAAGAGATAATAAAGGGAACAATAGGTACCTATTGGGCTTATACAGTCGCCAATTATAGGTTAACCAACTTTACTATGACTACCTCGTTGGACGAGTGGACGCAAGTGCGACTGCCGGGCAAGGGGTCTCGGGTTCGATATCCGAGTCAGGCAAAGTACATGGGTTTTTAAAAAATTAAAATGTGCCCCTCCCCTCCCTCAAATGTGGCTCACCCCCTATTACATGGGACTCATAACATAAATAGTGAAAAGTGGGTTTTACATTGTAAAGTGGCATAATGTGCACCTCTGCCTACCCCTTCGGGGATAAAAAGCGTGATGTTATGTTATGTTATGTTGAATATGTTTTTTTTAGTTTATACAATGCAAGTTTTGACATCGTTGGTCGCTGCGTGTGTGCATCCTTACTATTATAAATGGGAAAGTGAGTTTGTTTGTTTGTTTGTTTGTTTGTTCCGCTTTCACGCCGTAACGCAGACGTAAAATTAGAAGTCCGGATTAAATAATAGGGTACTTTTTATCCCGGAAAATTCTGGCGCTCTCGAGGGAAAACAAAAGAATTGGTATGTTTTTTTAAGGGGGGGTTCCTTCTCCTGCACGTCGAGTCGGAGCCCCGGTTACCCGTTAGGTTCTCCGCGACAAAAGAATTGGTATAGATGGCGCTGTGTGTATTGGTATATGTCACATAGGCTACTTTTATACTTTTGTGACGCGAGCGAAGCCACGGGTAAAAGCTAGTAACTGCATAAGTAGAAAGCTAGAAAGATATTTTTTTAATATTCCATAATGGACGCAGACTTCTTTATAACTCCATTATCAATATGGCTTTTATCCCTCTAAGTAAATACCAATCCACCGCCATCACCATTATTTTCCTACAAAAATGTAACACGCAAGTTTTTGGCTATTCTTTTTTATAGACAACATCTAAACGTTGATTAATAACAGTTAATAGCTTAGTAAAACGCATAACTTGCTAAGTAAAGTGGTGGCTAAGTGGTACAGCTTGTTTTGTTGGTTTATATACTGCTACATACCAAACTAAACAAATCCAGCATAAGCTGACCGTCGGTTGTGCGTAAAGCTCATATATATCGAGACCATGATAATCTGGATATTGTAGCTATACTAAACCAGTATAAACTGACACTGTAATGTGCGGAAAGGGCATACAAAGGAAGACCAAGATAAAATGGATTTGTGAACTTGATGTGTGTATGTACCTACATACTCTGACCTATATAGTTATTAAAGTGCCGGGTTAACTTGTGTTCGATAAAAAATATAGTGGTTTTTTCTATGTGTTTATGTTGTCATGGTCAGTAGAGAAGTAGAATAACTTTTTTTTTTAATATTTTATATGCTAATTAATAATCGTAGCACTCGATTGTTTTAAGGCTCGTACACAAAACTGCGATGAGATGCGATTCGATGCGAATTGCTGCGATGCGACTTCGAGCGACAAGGCCTCTCCCAGGGTGACCATTCCTTCGACGACCGTCAACCGTACTAAACGTATTTGAAATTAAAAACTAGGTCGTGGCATGGATCGTAAAAAGAAGTGTGCACTACTGTTATTGCTAGAAGATACAGGAATATAAACAGAAGTTTTGGGACGATAAAATTTTGATGCGCGATGTGAATCAATTCGCAAGTTCTTGCGATATGTAGAGATGCGACATTTTTGCGATGCGACCTCGCATCGCAGTTTTGTTTACGAACTCTTACTGTATTGTATGTGATGCTTTTAGTAAGAGTTTCAAAAGAGCGAGATTCGAAACCACAGCTCCCAACGCACTTTAAACACAATTTGCTAGTTGTTTTTCAAATTATCTTCGACGTAATTTCGAGAATATTTTTAGGGTTCGTGGTCTTATTGAAAATAAGCTTCCTTGTGCGTACTGCTAAAGAGTGGAATTCTTTGCCAGAGTCTGTATTTCCTGAAGGGTATAACCTAGGTGTCTTCAAGGCCCTTCTTTATAATATCTATGTCAAGGCCCGAGTGAATAGGTTGCTTATGGGACGTCGTGCTGCGTGCTCCATCGTAGACCGCATCATCGCTTACCACCAGGCGAGATAGTGGTCAAACGTCGGCCCATCAAATATAAAAAAAATGCTGAAACTACTTTTGATAATACTGTGATTGAATGTAAGTTTTCATACTCGACAACCGTACTTGGAAACATACAAGTTGGTGTTTGTAATAAGGTTCACTCGACGAGCAGGGGAGTGGAAAAATGAAATGCGTGTTGTCCACATGCAAGTGTATTAGCGACTAAAAATATTACATAAAAATACTGTTTTAACCATCGACTTGACGTACCTATGTATAGTTAGATATATGGAACTGGTTTGTGAGCAGCCACGACAATTCTTACATCAACACAAGTGGAACAAGTGAAACAAATGAAACAAGTGAATTTATTTCTGCAAATAGGCTACAAGGCAGCACTTTTACATGTCAATTTTATCTAGCGAACGATGAGGCCGACATTTCCTAACTGACTACTTTGAGAAGAAATGCCGAAACAAACTCAGAGGTCTGTCTCTTTTAAAGTCCAGACAAATGTGTACAAAAGATTATGTGTGAGAACCGTGAAAGTTCTTTCTGTAGTGGCCTTTTGAGGAAAGAACCATAACAGTTCATACATGCATCCAATAAGATATCAATGACAAAGCACTTTCTCAAATCAAATTAAAACAGACGAAGATCTGCACAAGGACACTTTCAACTCGCTGAAGATAATTGGAATCAAGCAATAAAAACGTGTAATAAGGACAACAATATAACATGGTTCATATTCACCAACGTGTGAGAAAGAGAGAACAATAAATTACAGCCTTGGTTGAAAACACATGGAATTTTGATTTTGTAGGAAAACATTTTAACCAAATAAAGGCGTCCGCCTTGCTATGTTAAATGGTACTAAAGCATAAATGTGTTATGTTCCAAAGATGGTAATTACGACTCTAAATTAAAGTTATGAAAGCATAAAATTGCCTATAAGACAGTTATATTCGAAAATTAATTACTGGGGTATAATTGTGTAATGTTCTTTTGTTTCCTGAAGACACAAATTGAATCTATACATATAATAAAATTGTAGAAAAGTGCTGTCTGTACATTGAAAATAAAAATAAAAAAAATAGCAGGGGCTATTGTTATGTCGATGTCGAACCCAAAAATGTAACTAACTTTTTTTTTGTCTGTTTGTCTGTTTGTCTGTTCACGCTAATCTCAGAAACGGCTTATCCGAGTTGGATGCGGTTTTCACGAATATATTGTGGTATGCTTCAGTTATGCTTTAGTGTTTGTTTCATGTCAATCGGTTCATAAATAAAAAAGTTACGTCAAATTAAAGAATCACGTCGAACACTATCTATCTATCTATACATATAATAAAATTGTAGAAAAGTGCTGTCTGTACATTGAAAATAAAAATAAAAAAAATAGCAGGGGCTATTGTTATGTCGATGTCGAACCCAAAAATGTAACTAACTTTTTTTTTGTCTGTTTGTCTGTTTGTCTGTTCACGCTAATCTCAGAAATGGCTTATAAATATATATATATTTAACAGGGTGCGGAAAAGGTGATAGTGGTTTTATTCCTCAGATTCCTCTCATTCCAAAAAATTTTCCGTTTAATTTTAAACGAATTCAGTTTCCAGTGAGCCTATGTTTCGCCATGACAATTAATAAAGCTCAAGGTCAGACTCTAAAAGTTGTGGGTATAGATCTAAGTATCAGCTGTTTTTCGCACGGTCAATTGTATGTGGCTCTGTCCCGTGTTAGCAATCCCAGCAGCCTGTATGCTTTCACCCCCGATGGCCATACGTCTAATATTGTATATAGAGAAGCATTACAGTAAAGTAGGTTTTTTAGCTACCCAAAATGACTGTGATTATGATCCAAATCTAAAATAAAAATAAGTATATATTTAAAAAAAAAACGCTGCTCATAGTCACTATTCTACGCGAACGAAGTCGCGGGCACAGCTAGTATGGAATAAAATTGAGTGATCTATTGAAAAATCGTGTTATTATAGAAAAGTGTAGATTGAAAGATGATGTAGTGACAAGGATTGAAAAGGGAATGTTACACTGGTTTGGACATGTAGAAAGGATGGATGAAGGTAGAGTAACGAAAGAAGTATACAGAGTGAATGGGGCCGTCGGTAGAGGGCTCCCTAGAGGGACATATAGTGACCAGATTGCCGATATATTAAATAAGGGCCAAATTAAAAGTACCCTTAACCACCGAACATGCATGAAAAGATTGATGACTGTTGATGAAGCGAAAGAGGCATGTAGGAATCGTAGTAATTGGCGTTCCATAGTCTTTGCCTACCTACCTACGGTCACCATCAACAAAATAACAGGAATAATATAGCACTATTTTCACATCTTTGAACTGATTTAACTCTGTTTGGGCTGTATTTTTGATATAAGACCGCATATATTTTTTGTTTGTAATGTTATTCTGCATCAGTTTTTCCACATCCGATCAACTGCCGCGATAAAATAAAAATGCACCACGCTCCATACAAATTTTGTCATTGTCATTTAGTGTCGTGGTTATTTTCTGGGAAATTCCGGTTTATTAAACCTTCGTTCCTTTATTTACTTATCCAGGCAATTATATCGGGATGCATGTAAATACAGTGGAAATCATACAACAAACAGCGATTTTCCTAAAACGAACAATTAGGAATATAACCCGATACGACTTGTTTGTTGAAATTTGAGATTTAGAGCTATTACCATAAAATCCATAATTGTGTAGAACTTTGCATTGTTATAGAGAAAATCACGTTCATTTTCATTTATAGGTTATTCAACCATGTAGTAATCAAAGTCAAAGCATTTATTTCAATTAATCTTTAATCAGGCACTTTTCACCCCGTATAACACGGGACTCATAACATAAATAGTGAAAAGTGGGTGTTACATTGTTCAGTGGCATAATATGCACCTCTGCTTAACTAAATCAAATTCAAATATTAACTCGTCGAGTACCGTCATTATAGACACAATTATAGAACAATAGGTTGCGGTCACCGGTGACCGCTTGGTGTTTGACAGTTTAATCTCATTGATACATTATCTGATCCTTTACCTAATATATACAGGGTGACTTGCAACTCGACGCACCCTCAACGATAGTACAATCAATTTCCCACAAAACTATCCAAGAATTTCTTAGTCTAAAAGCACCCCTAAGATATTCACCATTTCCGGTTTCGGCAAAAATTCCCCAAATAAAAAAACACAATATTACAAATACGAAACAATACAATACTAATACAATTAATGCCCAATTGTATTAGTATTGTATTGTTTCGTATTTCAGAACTTACCATCCAACTCCTTACTGCTTCTATGTATCTCGCAGAAGATACACACGTAGCACACTGTGATCACAATCAGCGGCAAGAAGTACATCGCGCAGAGACAGAAGACATTATACACCACTTCTTGTTGTTCTGAACTGAAGGCGCCAAAGGAGACACACTGCTCAAAACCAGCGACTTGTGGGTGACGCTTCACACGGAATACTACGCTCTGTGGACAAATAATAAAGTACAGATTTCTATAATGCTGTTGTCTGGGGGCTTACTCTTGAATCCAATTCCGATCAATCGACATTAGTATTGTGAAATTTTATTCTCTTGAGTTGCAACACTAGCGCCTATTGAATCTGTATTGCGTGGATATTGAATGAAATAAATGGTATTGAGTTTGGGTTTACCTCTATATTCCGCACTCCGAATGTTATTTGAATAGCTACGATAAGGGTTGTATAGTTTTGACATTGAATAATTATTTAGATTTTATTGGATTGAAATTGCATTGACATTGAGATTGGTTTCAACAGTAAGCACCCTGGTCTATGCTAACTTTTTGGAAGACATTTCAGGGTGGAAGGAGGTGTACTTTTTATAAGTTTTGTTGTTGGTTATTCGTATAACAATTGAAACTAAGTTATTGTTAAACACAGAGCACAATATTTTACTCTGTTATAAAGGTATACAAAAATTGTGTTTGATTAACGGGACTTCGTATGTGGTGACTTCTACTGTTCCTATAGATATTATAAGAATAGATAGAATAAGAAGTTATTTAAGTGTGGCAGAGCCATGCACGAATGGGCCGGCTCGACCGGAGTGAGATCACGGCCTCACAGAAAACCGACGTGAAACAACGCTTGCGTAGTGTTTCGTCATGTGAGTGAGGTTACTGAAGGCCGAATCCCCAATCCATCTCCAACAATCCTCAAATTTTTAATTTCCAAAAGGCCGGTAACGCACTTGTATCGCCTCTGGTGTTCGAGTGTCCATGGGCGACCCCGATTGCTTACCATCAGGTGATCCGTCTGTTTGTGTACCGGCATATCCCATAAAAAAGAGTCGATTAAGGGATTTTTGATAGACCTAATTTTTGTAATCTGTAAAATCCAAAACGCCTGTCTTGTGTAGAGGTTTTGATTAACCCTCTTATATAAAGGAGGTCTTTAGCTATTAACTTTCACGGTTAGAAACATAATTCATAGCTTAATAACAGTAGGTAATTGCTTTACGTCTTCTAAGTCAATAGTAGTTCCTCAATTATTCAATGAAATTATTAAACATCCTTACTAATATTATAAATCGGAAAGTGAGTTTGTTAGTTTGATTGTTTGTTCCGCTTTCACGCCATAACTACTAAACCGATTGCTTTGAATTTTTGAAGATGTATAGTTAGAAGTCCGGATTAAATAATAGGGTACTTTTTATCCCGGAAAAATTTGATATTCTCGAGGGAAAACAGAAGTATTGGTATAGATGGCGCTGTGTGTATTGGTATATGTCACATTGGCTTTTTATTCTTTTGTGACGCGAGCGAAGCCGCGGGTACAGGCTAGTCTTTCATATAATACAATCACTCTATTATGGTGTCTAAACTTCGAATCATTTCATAAACCTCTAATGAGATTCCACTATCATAGTTTTCAAAGCAATATTAACTGACACATTGATAGGCGCTTGAGGTTATCCAAGAATGATTATGATCTGCTGTTTAAAGGTAGAAGTTTGAGCCAGGTGGCGTATTAAAGCCAGAGAGGTTCCGCTGAGGGAATGAGATCTCGCTAGACAACTTGTATAGCTCTGTTTCTTTCCCTCAATGTAACCATTCTGACTGTAGGACATCATAATATCTTTTTTCCATGGCAACTAGACTTTAAAAGAAACTGTGTTGATCTTTTTTCATATTTGATGGGCCGACGTTTGACCATCATCTCGCCTGGTGGTTGATCCGGTTTTGTTTCGGTTTATCTTCTCTGAGGTGAAACTTACAAATGTATTATTGATGCGTTAAAGATGTATTTTGTAGCTTATTTTTTACAGTAATAAATATTATTTTATTATAACACTAGCTTCTGCCAGCGACTTCGCCCGCGTCACAGACCATAATCTACCCCTGTTCCATATTTCATCCCAGTCCCTCCAGCTGTTTTGACACGTCTGGGTAACAAACATACACACAAACTTACATATTTTCGTATTTATAATACCGGTTCAAGCTAATAACTACTGCGGGTAACCTAACATTTGACAAACTTATATTTGCGTTTGGTACAGTAACTGCGTCTAGGAATCGAGCCGCATAATTCAGTTTGTGTATACTTTTTCGGGATAAGAGTACCCAGTGTGATGTCCAGGATGTTAAAGTATAATCATACCAAGTTTCCTATTAAATGACAGTGAGAATGTATCTTTAGATATAACGTCGCATTTTTACTCAGAAATTAAATCTAACAACATTATGTGTTCCGTATACCTGAACGGCTCCAACGCCATTATAATAATAAGCTCAAGCTTATTACCGTACAAAGATCAGCATAAACTATAACTCTCAGAGTCATTCTTAAATCATCTTATATTTTATTATTATTTATTAAATACTAAGTAACCCCTGGTCGAGGACCAAATGGGCGGTAATAATAGGTTAAACCCAGTACTTCTCATAATTGCTAAGTATGTATAAAATTGTGTGAAAAGAATTCGGCAATAGGCTACAAAAGATCCCTCCCCGGACAAAATGTACCAAAAATACATACCAAATGCACTTGTAAAAATTCTATTTTTAAGTGATGATGTAATAGTATATTTATTTAACTAGAGAAATAAACGTTTATTCTATTCTATTCTATTCTATTCTATTCTATTCTATACAAAGATCTAAGTTTAGCACTCCTAACTGTCGAAGACTTGAATTAAGAAGTACCTGAGTACAACCTCTTTTATTTTAAGGGAAAAATCATTCAATCACTTATCAGGTGAGTAAGGTAAGAGGGAATGTCAGACGCTTACTGACTCAAACCACCCCGTTCTTACTCCTGCACTTCTAGTCGGAGCCCCGGCAACCCGTTAAGTTCTTTGCGACTTCGTATTGGCAACAGCCCTATTGGGACTTATCTGTGGTGGTCAAATGGCTCTTTGAGGCGCGCGCGGAACGCAACGCGCCATACGTTCGGGTCTGGTTCTGGTCGGGCGGCGAATTACCCGTGCTCACCGTCCGCAGGCCCGTACTCTCGAGAAGTAGGTACAACCACTACAAGTTCCACCAGAACAAGGTGTAAATGGAACGCTTCCGAAAATGCAATTTTTTTTTCACAATTTCAATTGTAATTGTCTTCATATTATTCATGCAATCAACCTTAAGCAGTTTATTGTAATAATAGCTGTTTATTATTACATATAAATTGTCTAATTTATATAAAAGAAACAATTAATTTCTTAGTTTTTTGAAAATGAAAGTCGTTTTTTACCATGTCTTCGTTTTTTAGGTACAAAATTCTTTTTAAATTACAACAATACTCAAGTTCACATACACACACCCAGACCCGGAACAACAATCTGCGGATCACACAAATAGTTTTTCCGTGCGGGAATCGAACACGCGCCACGTCGCGCGGCAGCCACCGCACCAAACGTAAAGCCAAAAGCCTAATGTTGCCTAAGTTTTTGTCAGCTGAAAGTAGTTAAAGAGTTTAAAGCACCCACTTATAAAATTATTTAAAAAAAACGAGCACTTCACAAAATACAGTTTCCTTAACTCGTCGAGTACCGGTTTTGTAGACACAATTATAGAACAATAGGTTGCGATCACCGGTGACCGCTTGGTGTTTGACAGTTTAATAAAATGTAAATTTTATGAAATTATAAATTATACGCCGCACAAGTATTCTGAATGTAGTAATTACGTGCTTGATTTACACAAAAACATTTAACTGTACAGACCTACAAATTATTTTATATTTGCATATTTACGTTTGTGAATAAATACATTTTAATTTGTGGTTTTAATTTGTTTCAACATGGCGGATAATATCTGTCACTTTGTAATTAACCCATTTGGGACCAAATACAAACTACACATAATTTAATAAAAAAAACTTTATTAACTCAATGATATGACGCCCACAAACTAATATCAGCAAAAAAAAATCAAAAAATATATTTAGAAGTATTAAAAAAAATGCCGTCCTTGATTGGGGACAATGGGCTCATGTGTAGTACTTTTCGAAGTAGTAACTGTTTTCGACACATAAGGTTCTAACGCATTATTTGCATTGATATCACAGTTTTTTTATAGCGAACTGCGTGTCGTAACAGATATTAACTAAATCTCTGCGGAAAATGTCTAAATCAATTTGATGTGACGCGCCTATATTTTTTTTGAGGGTAAAAATCATGCATTGCGTTTTCCACCTGGGGGACTCTTACTGGCTAAAAACCAACACGTTCCTAATTCTGCTTCAAGCCGAAGCCCCGGTGACCCACTAGGTTATTCATAGTAGTCGGGCATCTGTCCCGCTGAGCCATCTCGATCTAAGGCGGTCTGATCTGCACTTTGAAGCACGCGCGTAACGCCACGCGCCTTACAGGTACAGGTTTGGTTCTGGGCGGCGATCTGTTCTTGATACTATGACTGCTTCGCAGAAAGAGATGTTTTCCAGTTCCCCTCGCTCCACACCACAGCCAGAACCTAAGCTGGACGTGGAAGATTATCGTCATCGATCACTTCCCTGAAGACACGGCAGTGGTCAACATATACAGGGCATAATGCTACTCTATCCTCTGGGTGGACTTCGCTGTGACGACACCAGAATACAGCTGGAGGAAATGCCCTCTACTGCTGAATTCTGATATCGGATGCGACGCCTGGTACTGTAGGTGTACTTTTGCATCTTCGGTCTTGATGCCCACCAGATTTTAGAATATGAACGCCTAAAGATATGGCGGAATTGGTGATGCTCTTCGTGAATTAGCGTCTGTTGTTACCAAGTATTAGCTATAACTAAGTTTAGTCTATAGGTGACCTTTATAAATTGGAAAACAAAATACAAATCAGGTATAAATGTTTTAAAAATATACTACAGATGTGCCCATTGTCCCCATACGGGGACACCATCATTTTTTCTAACTTTCCCCTAAGCGGAATTGAAAGTATAAGGATATTCTTCAATATTGTTTTAATTGACACTATAAGCAAGCAATAATCACAAAAAAGTTTTATAA